ATTTTGCTCATGGTATCGATCAAAGTACCATAAGGCTGGCCGCAAGCTCTCTCTCTCTCTCTCTCTCTCTCTCTCTCTCTCTCTCTCTCTCTCTCTCTCTCTCTCTCTCTCTCTCCCTCTCTTTCTCTCTCTCGCGCACACACACACACACACACATTTTTCAACCCGCTGATGAGTCGCTGGAAGTCTAACGAAACGGTCTGGTACATTCATGCTTTTTCAGAGTGTATAGCGAAATGACAACACTCACAAAAGAAAAAGAAAAGAAAAAAAAAACGTGCGGAGGTGTATATTTCCACAAAACAAAAGAAGAAGAAAAATAAAAAAATGTGGCGGTGTATATTTCCATGTTTTAGTGGGAGATTCATTCGATTTATAAGTGTCATGAGGTCAGCTGCAAGATTGGAGACTTACCCGTTCTCTCTCTCTCACACACACACACACACTCACAAATGGCAAGTTCGAGGGCGAGCGGGGGCGAAGGCGCGACAATGGGCAGACGTAAGTGGCCGTGTATATTTCCATGTTGTAGCTGGAGATTCATTTAATTTTGCTCCTCCTGTCGGTGGAAGCACCATGAGGCCATCCGCGAGATTGAAAACTTACCTGTTGTTTTTCTCTTTCCCCCCCTCTCTTTCTCACACACACACACACACACACAAATAGCAATCCCGCGGGCGAACGGGGGCGAACACAATAGCAGGCGGGTATAAGTGGCGGTGAATATTTTCATGTTGTAGTGGGAAATTCATTCGATTTTGCTCCTCCTCTCGGTGGAAGTACCATGAGGCCAGCCGCGAGATTGAAAATTTACCTTTTTTTTTTTTTTTTTTTTTTTCCTCTCTCTCTCTTTTTCACACACACACACACACACATACACACTCACAAATGGCAATCCCCCGGGCGAGCGGGGGCGAAGACACGACAGCGGGCGGGCGCAAGTGGTGGTGTATATTTCTATGTTTTAGCGGGAGATTCATTCGATTTTGCTCCTCTAGGTGGAAGTAACATGAGGTCAGCGGCGAGATTAGAAACTCACCTGTTTTTTTTTTTTTTTTTTGCTGCGCTGTTTTTGGCGTGGTGGCTTCCTGTTCTC